CGTAAGGAGCTCTGGGGGATGCTGGGGGCAGGGAGAAGGGTCAGCGGGCTGGGGGGCTTGGCCGGCAGCATGGGGCTGCTGAGCTGCTCTGCTCTCCACCTCCCAGCCCTCTGGTGGTACCTGTTCCTCTGTGCTGATGCCCAGGAGGTGGCCACCTTCACGGTGCAGTACCGGGTGTACGAGGAGGTGCCGCCGGGAACGGTGATAGGGACCCTGGCCCAGCACTTCGAGGGGGGTGAGAGCGGGGAAATGGCAGATGCCTTCCAGCTGATGGAGACCCCTGGGAGGTTCCCGCTGCACGTGGGGAGCGGGGACGGGGCGCTCAGCACGGCAGGGCGGGTGGACAGGGAGCAGCTGTGCCGGCACAGCGAGCCCTGCTGGGTCTCCTTCGACGTGCTGGCTGCCCGGAACCTGGCTCTCATTCATGTGGAGGTCCGAGTGCTGGACATCAACGACCACGCGCCGCGCTTCCCCACGCCCGAGCTGGAGCTGGAGGTGTCGGAGAGCGCGTCCCTGCAGACCCGGATCCCCTTGGACCGAGCCCTGGATGCCGCCGCCGGCCCCAACGCCCGCTGCTCCTACAGCCTCTCCCACAACGAGCACTTTGCTCTGGAGGTGGTGTCTGGCTCCGACGGGACGAGGCACGCAGAGCTGGTGGTGGTCAGGGAGGTGGACCGGGAGCTGCGCTCCTCCTTCGACCTGGTGCTGACGGCCACCGACCATGGGGAGCCGCCGAGATCAGGGACCGCTTTAATCAAAGTCATCGTCCTTGACTCCAACGATAACAGCCCCGTCTTTGCAGAGAGCTCTCTGACGGTGGAGGTGAGGGAGGATGCTCTGCCTGGCACCCTGCTGGTGGTGGTGACGGCCACCGACCCCGACCAGGGCCCCAACGGGGAGATCGAGTACAGCCTGAGCAGGCACGCACCCCCCGAGGTGCTGGGGGCTTTCGCCATCGACGCCCGCTCGGGCAGCATCAGCCTCCAGCACCCGCTGGACTACGAGGAGACCCGCGCCTACGAGCTGGACGTGCAAGCCCGGGACTTGGGTGCCAACCCCATCCCAGCCCACTGCAAGATCCTGGTCAAAGTCCTGGATGTCAACGACAATGCTCCCCAGGTCCACGTCACCTGGGCGGCGCGGGTGCCGGTGCTCTCCGAAGCCCTCCCCAGGGACAGCTTCGTGGCTCTGGTGACAACCAGCGACCCCGACTCGGGCAGCAATGGGCAGGTGCACTGCTCCCTCAGCCAAGGGGACGAGCACTTCAGGCTGAAGAAGACCACAAGCCACAGCTACGTGCTGATGACCAACGCCACGCTGGACAGGGAGCTGCAGGCCGAGTACAACCTGACGCTGGTGGTGCGGGACCACGGAGACCTCTCCTTGGCCGTGCGGAAGCACCTCACCATCTGCATCAGCGACGTCAACGACAATGCCCCGGCCTTCCAGAAGGCCACCTATGAGGTTGCCATCGCTGAGAACAGTGAAGCACCTGCCTCCTTGCTCACCGTCCAGGCCACCGACCCCGACCTGGGTTTCAATGGGGAAATCACCTACAGCATCCTGGACTCTTCCGCTTTGGGTCTGGTATCGATTGACCCCACCACTGGGGAGGTTTTTGCCCTCCAAGCTTTTGATTATGAGCAGATGAGGAGCCTGGAGTTCCTGGTGACTGCGGAGGATGGTGGTCACCCCAGGCTGGCATCCAATGTCTCCATCAGGGTGGCTGTGCTGGACCGGAATGACAACGCGCCCGTCATCACCTCCCCAGCGCTGGTGGGAGGCACAGCCACGCTCTCTGTCCTGGTCCACGAGGAGACAGGGTGCTTCTGGGTGGCCCCTGGGAATGGGAGCACCCAAGGGATAGCAGCAGTGACCAATGCCACCCTCACATCATGTGCTGGTGCTCCCTTCCTCTTCACCATCACAGCCCGGGACGTGGACTCTGGCATCAACGGGGCTCTCCAGTATGATCTGGTGGGTGGGGATGACTCTGGGCTCTTCATCTTGGACCCCCTCATGGGGCAGCTCTTCCTCAATGCCAGCAATGCCAGCAGCCTGGCGGGCAGCCAGTGGGAGCTGGTGGTCCGGGTGAGCGACAGGGGGGACATCCCCCTGCACACCCTGGCTCGGGTCCACCTCATTTTCCGGCGTCACGGGGCGTTCTCCAAAATCTCAGCCTGGGAACCGGGATGGCCGAGCCCCTCGGTGGTGGCTGTTATCTGCCTGGCTGCTCTCCTGGGGGGGTGTCTCCTCCTCTTGGCTCTGACCCTATCTCTGCAGAAGAAGGAGAAGAAGGACAGCATGGCCTACAACTGCAGGGAGGCCGAAGATGCCCACAGGCAGCAGCACCTCAAGAAGCCACACAGGCAGATCCAGAAGACCGACATCCACCTTGTCCCCCTGCTCCGGGGCCGGTCCCGGGAGGCTGAACCCCCCCATCCTGGCCAGCAAGATCTGCCCCCCATGCCAGGGGGATCCTCACAACCTCCCCTCCACCTCACCCCCACTCTCTACAGGACTCTGAGAAACATGCCCACAGGCAGCAGCACCTCAAGAAGCCACACAGGCAGATCCAGAAGACCGACATCCACCTTGTCCCCCTGCTCCGGGGCCGGTCCCGGGAGGCTGAACCCCCCCATCCTGGCCAGCAAGATCTGCCCCCCATGCCAGGGGGATCCTCACAACCTCCCCTCCACCTCACCCCCACTCTCTACAGGACTCTGAGAAACCAGAGGACCCAAAAAGACTCAGACGAGCAGGTGGGGACCTTCGACCTGCCCATCCTGCAGCGTCGGCCCTGCCAGCCCCAAAGGCCCAAAAATTCAGCCAAAGAGGCTGCCAATCCCCCCGGCGCACCGTCACAAAG